GAGTGAAAGGGATATATCGCGCCGGCGCCAGAGATGCCGCAGATTAACGAACGCTAATTTAGCTTTGATCACGCGTTGAGAAATCTCCTCGCCCACACCTCCGCCAGCTGTTATGCAACTCCCAAGGTAGACAAAGCTTTCGACTACTTCCAGAGTGTCATTATCCAATGAAAGTGCAGAGATGGGTTCCTGCCAGTCTTGCAACAACACTTTGCACTTTGAAGGTGCAAATGACATACCATAACGAGTAACCTCAATTGCCAAACGGTTCATCGACTCTTGAATCGTTGGTGCGTTGTCACCCAGTAAGGCAATATCATTGGCATATTCTAAGCCTAAGACTCTGTTCCCAGGAAGGAGCTCGACGCCAGCGTTCGCTGCGTTATGTAACGCGTTTTGTAAGACATCATCTATGGCAAAGTTAAAGAGAAACAGAGAGATAGGGTAACCCTGTCGTACCCCACTGGTTACAGGAAATGAGAGTGAAAATTCACCATAGGTCCTAACCTTCCCCGAGGTCTGGTTACAGAGCGCTTTTAGGAATGAGACATACTTCTCGGGTACTCCGCATCTCCGCAAACAGTTCCATCGTGCGGGGCGATCGACTGAGTCGCTCTGATGTCTAAAAACATGACAATGGTTTGTCGTCTGTATGCGTGGCGGTGTTCTAATAGCGACGGAGGATGAAGATTTGAACTATGCATCCACGGCGTGCACGAAACCCCACCTCCTCCTCGCGGATTTGCTTCTCACGGAATGGGCATACCTGCGTAATAGAACGGATGCCAGAAGCTTCAGTGTTATTGGAATCAAACTTATGTCCCTGTGGTTGGAACAGGCGTTGCGACAGCCCTTCTTGAAAGACTCTTTGGTGCTTCGCACGCAATCCTAGCTAACCGGAATGACAACGAAGAACGCCTTTTCCAAATTTGTGTTGACAACGGAGTGTTCCTGTTAAGCACCATCTTGCACAAGAATCGTGACGCTTAGAATGTCTGAAGTTCGTGCTAACGAGGAACAGACCGTGTTCTGAGCATATGCGATGAAGTCTATCAGCATTATCTGAACGACAGCTATCAAGGCCATGGCGGCCGCTNGTGCGCCTTTCGAATGCGGCCAACTATCCAGGGTACCCAGATTGCCCTTGAGCCTCGCACTTGCCGGTGAGCATCACGATGGTCAACTCCAAAGATTAACTTTGGGGACCGGTTCGGTTCCGCCGAAGATTGGTGCCACTATGAGCTTCTTACGCTAGGTGTGGGCGGTTTGGAATCAGGGTTTAGCCAACTCCCCTAGATTGACTACCAGTGGTCGGTCAACCCGGTGGAAAGCGCCGGGCGTTCGCCTTTGCCCTCCCACTTTAGTGTTAACACCTCCGTCACAAGAAGGCAGTGGGTAGGACTTCCTCAGCAGAGGCTATTTGAGGCGCTTGGTCCTCTGGGAGCATTTCTAGAGGAGTTCAGGACGAATGGCCATTTCGGGACCTGAGACACCCACTCCCGACCACACTGAGGCATTGGGAGGCGTTTGCATAGATGATCAGGCTAAGTTACAATCTCCTTTAACGTTCTTCCTCCCGTGATGCCAAGTTTATACAGTTAGTTTTAGTGAACACCAAGATAAAGTAAAAATCGGTTACGACTCCTTCGGACTGTTCTTGTAACCCCTGATGAAAGAAAATAAATTTTCCGTTGCTCACTTTATTTTACCGTGAACTGAAGTAATTTATGCTTATGGTTGTATTTCACGGTACAAGTTCATCTTCGTGGGTTTCGTTATTTTCTCTGTTTTGTTACACACGTTTGTATTACGAACAACAAACAGGGCGAACCCCATAGTCGCGAAGATCTGCTATTCAGTGATGGAAACCGGTAACCTATTCCCCAAGGCATGGAGCGGCGAACCAAATAAGGTTTTACTAGGATAGGCGTGGTATTGAACCGGACGACAGCAAAGCTGCCTACCACAGATCACTTGGACAATCATGTGTTCCCCGGACTCTGTGCTGCAGTACTTTTAATTTTTAAAGCTTCCTCGAGGTAATACGCCGGTAGCTTAGAGATTGCCTTACTCTTGAACGTGTTTATGGTATTGAGACTTAAAATCTCCATTTTGAATAACCTGTTTGCACCTTTTGTAGCTTTTGATCTTGTTCATCATCATCGTGATCATCGTACGGCGGAATACTGTGAAGCGAACTTCACTGATCGCTACCAAACTCGCAATGCAT